TGTGTGTGTGTGTGTGTGTGTGCGCGCGTGTAGTACGAGACGGTATAAGTCTGTATGCACATTCTTGCACGCACATGACATGTACATGAATATCATGAAAAGCAAACCAGAAAATGAGCAAAGAATTAAAATGAAGCACGTGTAGGTACAAAGTGCTTTCTTTAAAAAAGCAAAACCAAAATAAAACTTGAAAGCAAATCAAAATTCTAAATCAATTTAAAATTCAAAAGCAAAATAAAATTTGAACCCAAAGTAAAACTCAAAAACTAAATTGAAATGCAAAAGCAAAAAAACATATTATATTATAAAACCAAGACAAAGTTCAAAACTAAATTGAAATCTAAAAGCAAAAAAAAAAAACGTCTGAAAACAAAGTAGGATTCGAATTTGTCGAAACCAAGATATAAAGTCATAGGCCAAACTAAAATTCAAAACTCAATTAAAACCCCAATTCAAACCTGTCGTGGAAGGTCCAGTACTTGACCCCCAGTTTCTGGAAAAACTCAAAGCCGGCCCTGAGCCTCCTCCTGGCGTTCTCCATCGTGTTGCTGCCGTCATCCCACGGTCTCACTAGGGTCGGGAAACCAAACGGGTCGGCGCCTACACGAGAAGTGAAAGATTCACATATATAATTTCATAAAATATTTGTCTCAAACTCCACACCTTATCAATTAGGAAAGAATCAGAACTGATAAAATGTTATTTGATTGTTTCAAAATTGTCTCAAACTCCACTCACTATTTATCAGAAAGAAGCCGTAACAATTTGACGAATTTACCCATATTTACCCCCAAACTCTACACACTGTCAATTAAAATTAGGAAAGAATTAGTAACAATTTGACAAAAACATTTACCTCAAACTCTACACACTTTCAGTTAGGAAAGAATCAGAACGGATACAATGTGATTTTTTTTTAAATGTCTCAAACTGCTCACATTATCAATTAGGAAAGAAGGCGTACCAATTTGACAAAAATATTATTTGCCTCAAACTTTACACACTGTCAATTTGGAAAGAAACAGATACAATTTGATTTTTTAAAATTGTGTCAAACTCCACATTATGCTTATAATTAGGAAAGAAGCAGTGACTATTTGACCTGTTCAAGACGCTTACCCGTTCCTCTGAACGTGTGCCAGAAACAGACGGAGAAGCGCAGCCATTCCTCCATGGTCTTCCCTCGCACAACCTGTGATTAAATAGTGATTAAATAGTGAGTGGCGTCGGTGGCCTAGTGGTTAGTTAGGCTCTCGGACTCGCAACCGTTGGGTCGTGGGTTCGAATCCCGTCAGGGGGCCGATGTTGTGTCCTTGGGAAAGGCACTTTGCAGAAATTTTCCTCACTTCACCCAGGTGGAAATGGGTACCCGGCTATAGACAGTGAACGATTTTGTCAGTTTGATAGTGTTTGAGCGCGTGAAATCCGCAGCTTGCACTGTATGCTTCCGCGGAAGCTGAGAATGTTTCTGTAAGTAAAGCGCATAGAGCATGCTCTTGAGCATGGATATGCGCTATATAAATGCAATTATTATTATTATTATTATTAAATCAGAAGGAAATACTGTCAAATTGTCTGAGACGGCCATCCATTGTCGAGGAGAAAAGTGTCTGTCTTTGACATGTTATATAACATTCTTCTGCTGTGTCTTTTTTATACAACCCCCTCCCAACCCCGCCTAAAAAAACCCCAACAACAACAACAAGCAAACAAACAAACAAACAAACAAACAAACAAACAAAAACACAAAAAGGGCAATGGGAAGAGGCTGTTTTTACAGGTGATTGTCTTATATAACAGGTACAGGTGTCTGTGAGAACAGGTTCAACTGTTATTACATTTCAGCAGGCGATAAAGCCTGGCTGCTTTGGTGTCGTGGTTAAGCTCTTCAGAACTGTACCCAGAAGACATGAGTTCGGTTGTGGAAGATTTTTAAAAATCCGGTATCTTTGTCAGTGTGCGTGGATTTTGTATCCCACTCAGCCAGGATTGTAGCAGATAGGCAGTGTCAAAGCAGCCTGCCTCCCATTACATTTTCTAAATGGTAGCCTATTGATGGCGGTGTCAGACGTACTATTATGTACAACTAATTTCCAATTTCAAAGGAAAATGGGATTACATTTTCCGAAAACAAATCTCAGCATGATAAAATGTCTAAGGAATCAAAGAACGTCTGTATGTTAGTGCGTGCGTGCGTGCGTGCGTGCGTGTGTGTGTGTGTGTGTGT